CAAGCTCCCAACTTTGCAACTCCAAATTATTCTATAAAAATGTACAAATTACCAACTACCAAAATTTTACAATTGTTAATGAGTATATTTTGCTTAAGACCTAACTGCCGCTCAGTATTAGAAGAGAAACCTAGTCATCTACCAACTCCTTCATGGACCCAGTCTATCTAATAGACGTCTTAAAAACTTCCACACTGGTACCTACCTCATATTTTACAATTTTTGATCTGTTCTTTCATCAAGAGTTTCCGTGTTTTCCCTCTTAACGAGTATAAGACAATATTGTCTAAATCGTAATCCAATGAAGGTATTTTATGCCCTAATGTTTTCCTCAATGACGCAAATATCGACTGGTCTGCCAAATTAAAATATCCATCAGACACTTTATAAAAGGCCGCAAAGGTTTAAACTTACGCAGGATGACAGCTACTACAGAGCTCCAAATGCTTTTCGCAGACCGGAGACGCCAGTTAATACCACATAATTGTAAAAGTTATAATATATAAATACAGCAGGCATTTCGTTTTTGTAACTGACTTCGGCTGGTGGTTTTAAAATGTCATCATGTCCAGTTTGTAGTTGTTCATCCTTATTTCCGGTCTTGTCCGGGAGGGCACATTAAAAAGTTATAATTCAGTTACCATCTGATCTGGTAGCAAACAAACTACGATTACTTTAATTCATTCAACAAATACTAGCTGCTCACATTCTTGACTAGTTAACGCATGTTTGGAAAACCTTTTTTAATTCGCACGACACAGTTGCAGGTTTTATTATAAGCTGTTCCAGGCTCCGAGATAGTCGGTTCTGCGAAATTGAGAGAGCGCGAACATGAAAATTAAACGGGGGTATCTTCTCGTTTTTCTTTTTCCGCCACCACCACCTTTTCCCAGATCACGGGCTCACATTTTCACGTGCCTTTCACTTACCCGTCATTCTAACTATCGAGGTCACTTAAAAATGGCATAACCAACCAGGAAAAAAAAAATAAAGGACTCTTTAGAAAGTCTATTATAATCTTAGAAACCAGCTTGAATTTACTCTTTTTTTTTTTCATTATGTTTTTTTTTGTTATGTTGTGGTGTTGTAAGCAGATTTGAAGATAACTCCATGTTCTCACCTCCCGTTCCCACATCCCCCCCTGCCCACCCCTTTCCCTTCTTTCTACCTTTCCAGCTCACTTAAACACGACCTAACCAACCACGAAAAAAAAAATAAAGGACTCTTTAGAAAGTCTATTATAATCTTAAAAACCAGCTTAAATTTACTCTTTTTTTTTTTTCATTATGTTTTTTTTTGTTATGTTGTGGTGTTGTAAGCAGATTTGAAGATAGCAGTCCGCCGCATACATGAAGGTGAATTTTGCTCAATCCTAGCGCGTTACATTTTAGCATATGAAGGCTTATATATTTATTCAGGATGATTCTATCTATCTATCTACCTACCTACCTACCTACCTACCTACCTACCTACCTACCTACCTACCTACCTACCTACCTATCTATCTATCTATCTATCTATCTATCTATCTATCTATCTATCCGTCTGTCTGTCTGTCTGTTTATCTATCTATCTATATATGTGTCTCTCTATCAAAGTTCCATGCTGGATGAATGTTATTGTTCAGTAGCACCCAACGAGAATATAGTTTAAAACCACTAAAAAATAAGCATTGTTGAACGTATTTTAGTATTTAAACGGTAGATATAGGCATATTTCTATCCCCTCAAAATTTTTCATCTGTTCGGATTTCCTAGCTGAAAGTCTAGTGATCCGAAAATTATAGGGATCAACCTTCGAAAATTTCAGCCAGAAAAAAGCCTCCCGAAAACTCTAGGTGACCTTTTTTAGGGTAAAAATTCGTTAAAAATGGGCAATTATACCATGTTTTAAATGTTCGAAAATCCGGCTAGGAAAGGTAGACAAGCAAGAAAGCTTACAACAAATGTTACGAAAATTCTAGATCTCAAATCGTCTTCCGCACAGATATTTTCCAAAAATTGACGTTGGGTGCCCCTGATTGTTTTCTAGTGTGATGTATGATGTACGGATTTGGTGATGAGCAGGTTCCATTTACAGAGTCTGTTGATTTACTCAGAAGATCTTGTAGTGGAATATATCCCATAAAAGGTAAGAAGAGGGCACCCCATAGTAATGTTATGTATCAAAGGCAGAGCCAATGATGTTCCAATATTAAAAAAACTGCCCACCCACCTTATGGATTAGTATCCTTGGCAGAAAATTGGTATCGGCAAAAAATGAGGGGGTAGGAAAGTTATTTTTTGTCCGGGGCAACCTCGTCCCCAGGGCGCTTTTCACTGGCGAGGTTCGGTCCGGGAAATCGGGACCCAGCTCACATGAGACTATCAGTTGTTTATGAAGGCCAAACGTTAAGTCAATGTCCAGTGTGTGCGCCAGTGTGCAGTCCTCGGCCCTAGTTACTCCACATAAATTGAGACGTTTCCCGCGCAGTTAATTTATGAGACAAATTTTACTCATCCTTACTCGCCCTCAAACCGGCCCAAAATGCTGGCACATTAATACTTTATCTGCATTAAAGGGGCTGTGTCACGGCAGTCCAGTTCATTTTGTTTAATTTTGCCAATTACTCGCCCTCAGTCACTATTGAACTTAAAGTAAGCAAAGAAATTACATGTAAATGACAAAATCAGAGATCCGAGACAAACAAATATGTCTCCTGAGCATTATTTTTGAAGTTGCAAGCAGCCCAACAGTTTTTCAAAGTTGATCCCTGCTGAACAGTTTTCAAAAGGCCTAATTTCAATCCGTTTTAATCTTCTTCAGTTTTGCCCATCCGTGACATCTGTTGTTTCTGTTATGTTATTTTAACCATCTGCTTCCTTTAACCTTTTAGGGACCGGTCATTATTTATCGCCTGGGGGGGGG